AGTGAATATCAGTGTTCACCAGTGTTCATGATTTAACAGTTGAATTGTCATTCACCCAGTGTAGAAGTAATATAACGTAAATACGTCTGTCGTCTAGACAAGAGAGTTTGTTGGTGTTGTCATGTTTCTCAGTCCCCTGACGCTGCTTCCCGTTTGTCTCCAGATCCTTGTGATTCTTGAATCGCTCTACCATCCAACAACGGCCTCGGATGTAGTAGATGGCCAGCCGGGATCATATATGAAAAGATGGCACCGATGCGGCCTGATTAATGTACCCCACGGCTTCGTTGGGCCAGACCCCAGACCCGCCATGTGTCTGGCTACCCCACAATAACGAAGGTCGTGGGCCCTAGTGTTCTGCCCTGGGTTACTCCTTGGAAGTGAATGTCCAGAGAGTGGTGTAACATGTATGTTAGGGATAATTAGTTGGAAATAATTATTCCATGTTGGGTAGTGGACCCCTGCATATACTAGTGTCATTGTTTACGTATATGTTGAATAATCTACAATGAGTGCCATGTAATGTAACACCAGTTATGTTGTGAGTAAGAGTAAAGAAGAATGTACTGAGTTTGCACTAAGCCCAGGAGGTGAGCCTGGTAATTATATGATTAATACAATATCTTTCCCCATTGATTGCACATTAATAAACTTGTCTTTAGAGTACTTTAGGTGTATTCCTTTCTCCCGCAGTATTTTACCTTTATTTCCATCCAAGTGACTTGATACCAGAATTACCATACTCACGTGCCTAGACCCTCGACCATGCTACCAAAAGAATGTCCATGCTACCAAAAGAATAGGTGACGGAACTGAGTAAGAGTAAGACTAAGAGAAGTAAGTAAGATGAGGGAGGTGTAGAAACAGAGAGGGAACCGGCCCCCTCACATTGGTGGCAGGCCTAAAACCCGCCCCCTCACAACATGACCGTGTGCCTGTCACTGAATTTGCTTACCATTGAGCATAATTAAAAAAAAACGTATGTAATAGAAAACTGGTAACTGTAATGTGTGCATCACCTGACACTGACTCTACTGAGCCGGGAGTCGGGCTGTAGCGGTACGAACACACGCACCTGTGGTGTCTTGACCTTCCTTCAACTTCAGCCACCCTCACAGGTTCTTAAATAAGTTGTTTCGATTTTCTTGTGCCGGGAGGACCAGGCATGTACAATCAGCCAAAGATACAGCATCCCCACCCTGGATCTCGTACTGGTAATACTTGGTAAAGTAAGGTGTTGTCTAATGGTAGACCCTCTGCTATATGGCATCACGAAAATTATGACCAAGTCCCAGGTTGCTGATCTGACTTTCTGCCTCATTTACACACAATTGCCGAGTCCAGGGCCGGATTCAGGAGTGGGCAGCTGCCCAGGGGCCTTCACAATCTGGGGGCCTCCACATATTACAATATTTTATTTATTTGTTTATTCATTTGGATTATTTTTATTTTCATTCTTTAAAATTCATGTTTATCTATTCCATCACGTAAAACTATGTTCAGAAAGAAGCGTGGTAGAAATTAGGCTAGCTACCCCTTGAAATTCATGAATACCTGGTTTTCCTATGAACCTTATATTTTTAATGAATGCTATTGTTTGTGTTGCTAATAATATATTTAGAATTCCACAAACATATATTGTGGAATGTTCTAATTTCCTGAATATAAATGCATATGGCTTCAAAATTCTCCAAAGAAGTGCTCAAATTTCAAAATTTTCCCGGGGGGCTTACAGCGCCCCCCGGAACTCCCAGATGTTTAGGCTCGCTTCACTCGCCACCCCACCCTCTTAGGTAGTTATAATGAGGGGGGCCTCCACAAAGAGGCTGCCCATGGGCCTCCACAGGTCTAAATCCGGCACTGGCCGAGTCTCAATTATTTCTCTTGCTATTGACAACGCAACATACATGCAGTATATTGTGGGTCAGTGACCTGTGCCCCTGTGGGCTAATTCCCTTAAAAAAAAGTCTTTGATTGTGATTGCTGGATCTATTTTCGGCTCTATCACTGTCAGGATAAATATTAAACAATCCAAAGGTAGAATTTTTTTAATATTGTTATTGTTTCTGTATAGATTTTAAAGTTAATATTGGTCTAAATACTGTATACCAAAGATTCAATGTAACTAATGTCAGATGCTGCTTGTCAAGAGTTAAGAAGAGTCGGCAGGGACGAATCCAGGAATGTCAAAAGGCGGGGTCAAAGAAGTTGTGGGTGGGGCAACATGGCGAGAGCAGCGATTCCACCCAGTTTCTTTTTTGGGGAGGCAACAAGCCCCTCCTGATTTTTTAAATCTAACCAGTATCATGGGTATTTTGAGGCCATTTTGAAGCCATGCGTACTCGATATTAGGAGATATTCTGAAGTCAATAGTAAACACTTTTTACTTGACAAAAATGACTGAATACAATACTGTATTAGGATCACCTGAAGAGTGAAGAATCGTCACCCAGAGTGTTCACCTGAAGAATCATCACCCCAGCCCGCTCCACCTGAAGAATCATCACCCCAGCCCACTCCACCTGAAGAATCACCACCCCAGCCCGCTCCACCTGAAGAATCATCACTCCACCTGAAGAATCACACCCCAGCCCGCTCCACCTGAAGAATCACCACCCCAGCCCGCTCCACCTGAAGAATCACCACCCCAGCCTGCTCCACCTGAAGAATCATCACCCCAGCCCACTCCACCTCAAGAATCACCACCCCAGCCTGCTCCACCTGAAGAATCACCACCCCAGCCGCTCCACCTGAAGAATCATCACCCCAGCCCACCCACCTGAAGAATCACACCCCAGCCGCTCCACCTGAAGAATCATCACCCCAGCCCTCCACCTGAAGAATCATCACCCCAGCCCACTCCACCTGGAAGAATCACCACCCCAGCCCACTCCACCTGAAGAATCACCACCTCAGCCTGCTCCACCTGAAGAATCATCACCCCAGCCCGCTCTACCTGAAGAATCATCACCCCAGCCCACTCCACCTGAAGAATCACCACCCCAGCCCGCTCCACCTGAAGAATCACCACCAGCCTGCTCCACCTGAAGAATCATCACCCCAGCCCACTCCAGTTGAAGAATCATCACCCCAGCCCACTCCACCTCAAGAATCACCACCCCAGCCCACTCCACCTCAAGAATCACCACCCCAGCCCACTCCACCTCAAGAATCACCTCCACTGCTCCACCTGAAGAATCACCACCCCAGCCTGCTCCACCTGCACCACCCCAGCCCGCTCCACCTGAAGAATCACCACCCCAGCCCGCTCCACCTGAAGAATCACCACACCACCTCACCACCCAGCCGCTCCACCTCAAGAATCACCACCCCAGCCTGCCCACCTCAAGAATCACCACCCAGCCCGCTCCACCTCAAGAATCACCACCCCAGCCCGCTCCCACCTCAAGAATCACCACCCCCAGCCTGCTCCACCTGAAGAATCACCACCCCAGCCTGCTCCACCTGAAGAATCACCACCCCAGAATCACCACCCCACACCTCAAGAATCACCCCAGCCGCTCCACCTCAAGAATCACCACCCCAGCCCGCTCCCACCTGAAGAATCACCACCCCAGCCCGCTCCACCTGAAGAATCATCACCCCAGCCCGCTCCACTTGAAGAATCACCGCCCCAGCCCGCTCCACCTGAAGAATCACCACCCCAGCCCACTCCACCTGAAGAATCACCACCCCAGCCCTCTCCACCTGAAGAATCATCACCCCACTTCATAATATAGATAATATTGCAAAATACTTTACTCAATATTCCAAAATACACGATGCATATTACAATGAGTAAGTTAGGTTAGGTTAGGTTAGGCCTGAAGATTAACCACCATGGAGGGTCCTAACCCCACCTGAAGAATCGTCACCCCAGGTTGTCCCACCTGAAGAATTGTCACCCTGCCAAATTCTGGGGTGACGATTCTTCAGGTGATCCCAATACTGCATTAAAGAAAAAGTATTGAAATTTTCTGGTGAAAGGGGGGTGCGGACCCCCCCTGGATCCGCCCTTGGTCAGTGAGTAAACAAGACTGCATTATATTCTTTGTCCAGAAAACATGATAAGCCCCTTACTCCACTGGTCTGTCTCGGCAACTAGTTAAGTTCTTATCAAGGTGGGGATGATAACTTGATAAACCATAAAGGAAGTCATGTGAACTGCTATGCCCTCTCTGTACCTGTGTTAATGCTGCAGATGTTTAATTCAACTTTAAGCAACATGCCTACATCTATTCGGTGACCATTAAATTCACTCCCGGTAATTTGACTGCCAGGGAAGGATTCACGCGCCAATCTTGAAGGGAGGGTGAGAGGGGGACCTCACCTAGTAGTAGCGTATACCCTAATATTGTGGGTGTGAGGAAGGGGAGCATGAACAGCTTGTGTGTAAGGTTTAACAAAAAATAATATAGAAAAAATGGCACAATTGTCAAATTATATGTAAAATGGCACACACAAAAAGTCACTAGGTTAAGAAAAGGGGGCCTCCTCAGCCTAACCTAACCCAATGATTTTTTTTTGAAGGTCCACCAGTCACATCAAGATATTATACAGTACAGTATACGCTTTGACCTAGTCTAACCCATCAGTACAAGGTATGATACTGTATTTGCTCCTGTACAGTATTTTATGTAGACTGGATACGGAACTAAAGTTAATTTAAACAGATGTGGCGATCAACAACATTAGTGGTGGCAGCAGTGATGGGAGCTACAGCAGCCTCCATAACCTCCCTGGTGCAGGATGAGTGGCAACTGTTTAAGGTGACCAATGACCACTTTTGAGTTTTTTCTTAATTTTTAATTTGATGAAAGGTGAGAACAGATTGGACTGATATCGCATTTATTTTGTGTAATCCTCATTAACCTATAGTGTACATTTTTATGTAAAAACAATTACAGATGTAGAAATGTGTTCCTACACCCCCCCGTGGTAACCCGCTTCTCCAAACAGCAATGTCCCAGTAACAGTATCACTACAGTATTTATGAATGAATGGGTATTGGTCTTGTAACGACGGACATGATTGGTGTATAGGTTTGTTATAGGTCATATAGGTTGGCCGTTTGGAGACACGGGTTACCACAGGGGGCGTAGGAACACATTTCCGCAACTGTCCAGTATGGTACACTACAGTGTACTGTATTTACAAACAATTTCTGGATCAACTAAAGTTTAGTCCCCAGCTTATTAAGAACCCTCAAAGACTTAACCTAACCCTTCAGATAGTGTTAAGGTGTTTATTAATCAGGTAAAATAAGCTTGGGGGCTATGCTTCAGGTGATCCCAAGTTCTATTACAGTATATACTGTACAGAATGTATAATATAACATTTTACATATATCAAGATAATTTCAATATAGGTACAGTATATTGTACAGCAGTCTGAACTGTTTCATTAATCCCAGTACAGGTACAGGTGCATATTTTCTCTGCATCTCATGTCTAGATCAGAAAGATTTGAAGAGCATACTAGTGTTATTATTGTAACTTAAATGTTTCATTATTACACTAAAACCTACAAAAATGAAATTTGGTAAGTGAATGTTTAATTGGAAGTCAAAGACACTGAGTATTTGTTGTTCCTCACCAGTAAATCAATTGGGGAACTGAAATTGAACTAAACGTGGAAAAGTCTGAGGTAAAGTGTGTGTCTTGTCTGCCATGCACACAATTTTATCCCCCACCAGTTTGTCACAGTGATACACAAGTTTGATTTGTCTGTTCATTCAGTTTGTTTCTGCAGCTGGAGTACAATAAGCAGTACAACACTGATGTGAAGGAACAATTCCGCATGAAGATTTTCATGGATAACAAACACAAGGTTCTGGAACACAACAAACATTTTGCCCAGAATATGACTTCCTTCAAACTCAAACTTAACCACCTAGGAGACATGGTAAGTCAGCTTTTCTCATACAGTTCATGCCTTTATTCATATCTTATGTTTATTAATTTATATCTATGGGGCTCTTTATTTATGTGTATATATTATGTCTTTCTCTTTCACCTTACCATGGCATTTCAATATACCTTCACTTCCTTTGTTATTGATCAGATCAGTTAAAATTCTTAAAACCCAATTTATCAACAGTTGAGGCAAGAAATTATCTCTTCTATGACTGGCTTCACTGAAATGGACACCAAAAATGGCATCCAAGACATAACTGCCATCTACATTCCTCCCGATGACGATGTGCTGCTGCCCTCCTCTGTTGACTGGCGCAAGAAGGGTGCTGTAACTGGAGTCAAGAATCAGGGGCAGTGTGCTTCAGGCTGGGCATTCTCAACAGTGAGTGAAACTTCCAAAGGGTACTATACACTACAGGCACTTTTACTAAAGCTTCACTTCTTTGGGGGATATTTTCTTCTAGGATTGGGGGCTGTTGTGATATCTCTACGGTTCATTGTTTGTTAATAATTATCCTAAGGAGACATCCCTCCCCCCAACCAGACCGGATCACTTGAGGGTCAGCACTTCCGCCGATGGAGTCGTCTGCTCAACATCTCGGAGCAGAACCTCATAGACTGCTGCCACCTGTGTCAAGGATGCCAGGGTGCACGTATGGACTACGCTTTTACATACATCATGCAAAATAATGGCATTGACAGTGAGAGTTACTACCCTTATGAGGCCAGAGTAAGTAATGATCTCTACAGTACAACTGTAGGACACTTGGTTTGGACCAGGGTTGTAAGGACCCTAATCTAACCTAACATAGTATTTCCGTGGCCCAAACATCATCTCACCGTACAGTACAGTACAGTATTATGAACAAACAAAGATGTCATCGGATTCTTCTCTCATGTATTCAGAAATGATCCTGTGCAGATATTATACAATTACATAAGGTTCTCAAGCAACCATTATATTTCTATTAAAAAAAATGAATTGAATTTTTTAGATTAGTCATAATTATTAAAATGCATTAAAGATCACTGGTAATAATATCAAGATAAATAATTTAAAGGTTAATTTTAAGGGCATCTTTTCATAAGGACCTGTTTATTGTGAGTACATATTCACCATTACCTAACATCATCAGAACATATTCACACCACCACCATGGCACTATCACCAGAACATATCACTGATACAATCTAAAAAACAAATAATTGATCCCAAATTAATAACTCTTTAAATAACCAAAATTCATTCCCTTGCAAAATAATGTGTGTCGCTACAACCCAGTTATGGCTGTGGCCAAGGCCTTGGGGTACGTGAGTATCCCAACTGGTGATGAGATAGCTCTGAAGGCTGCTGTAGCCAATATTGGTCCTGTGTCAGTAGCCATCGATGCCTCCCTCCCATCCCTTCATTACTACACCCACGGTAGTATATTATCCAGGTAACCCATGTATCGTATTGTAATACAATCATTAATTTAATGCTATGAGGTTGTATTGAAAATAATGATAGTGATGAAGTTGTCTTTTAAGTATTTCAATATACCCTTCTGTATAAAGGAGAGAACAGAGGAGGAGAAAGAGAATATAGAGGGCAAAAGAAATAAGTAGTGATATGGTGGTCTGGAGGCTCTTCTATAGTGGCCATATGAGGCGCTCCGCGTCAGAAGGGGATGAAGCACCAAAGTTACTTTTTGTATTATGAGTATACCCTGTACTCAGTTTCATCTATTTCAAGCCCACTTTCAATTTCATTATCATCGTCAATGCGTGCCACATTGTCATTTAACTCATCATGGTAGGCAAAAAGCTCTTTGTATGCCTTGTAGCGCGCTAAAAAGTTATTCTGTGCGTTCAAAGTGTTATTGTCATTATGATAATCACTTTCATCATACTGTGAGTCACTTTCATTAAGAACAAAAGAACATAAGAATGGAGGAAACTGCAGCGGGCCTATTGGCCCATACTGGGCAGTCCCGTTTACACCCAACCCCTATTGCTCATATAAGCATCCAACCTATGTTTTAAGCTATTCAGCGTATTCGAGTTAATGATAATATTTGGTAACTTGTTCCATTCATCCACTACTCTGTTTCCAAACCAGTGTTTACCTATTTCGCGCCTAAATCTAAATTTATCTAATTTAAAACCATTGTTACGAGTTCGCTCCTGGTTGGATAGTTTGAGTACCTTTGTAATGTCCCCTTTGTTCAGCCCTGTCTTCCACTTATACACCTCTATCAGGTCGCCCCTCGCTCTACGTCTCTCGAGGGAGTGCAAATTAAGATGCTTTAGCCTGTCTCTATATTCAGGGTTCCTAATGCCCGGGATTAGTCTTGTCATTCTCCTCTGAATTCTTTCCAAGGATTCTATATCCATTCTGTAATACGGTGACCAGAACTGTACTGCGTAGTCCAGGTGTGGTCTCACAAGAGCAAGATACAGTTTTAGGATGACCTCGCTAGTCTTGTAACTAACACTCCTTTGTATGAACCCAAGTACTTTATTAGCCTTGTTACGAGCAAAAACACATTGTTTACTTGGTTTAAGGTTCCTACTTATCATTACTCCTAAATCTCTCTCGCAGTCGGATTTCTCTATGGCATCGTTGTTCATCTGGTATCTGGTTTCCCTGTTTACATCTCCTATACTGAGTACTTTACATTTGTCACGTTGAATTTCATCTGCCATTTTTCAGACCATTCGAAAAATTTGTTTAGATCTTCCTGTAGTTTTGCCGAGTCCTCGTCAGATTTAATAACACGTCCTATTTTAGTGTCATCAGCAAATTTACTTACGTTGCTGTCTATGCCGATATCTATGTCGTTTATGTATATAATAAATAATATTGGTCCAAATGCTGAGCCTTAGGGAGCTCCACTAGTGACGTTGCTCCAATGCGATTTAGTGCCGTTAATGCTCACTCGCTGTTTCCTGTCCTGTAACCACGCCCTAATCCATTTAAGGATGTCACCTTTGATGCCATGAGCTTCTACCTTTCTAATTAGTCTTTCGTGGGGGACTCTGTCGAAGGCTTTGCTAAAGTCGAGATATACCACATCATAATTGTGCCCCTCGTCCACCGATTCGAAAACTGATGAAAAGAATGTTAATAGATTAGTTAGGCAAGAGCGTCCGCTTGTGAAGCCATGCTGGGAATCATTGATCAATCGGTGCTTCTCCAGGTGATTTCGAATAGAGTTTGAGATGATTGCTTCCAGTAATTTGCCTACTATTGATGTTAGACTGATTGGGCGGTAGTTAGAGGATAGTGATCTATCCCCCTTCTTGAAAATCAGTATTACATTCGCTATCCTCCAGGATTCTGGTACTACACCTGTTTTTAAGGACATGTTAAACAACTTTGCTAAGGGCATACTAAGCTCTTCCTTACATTCCTTTAATACTCTGGCAAATATCTCATGGACCAGGTGACTTATTAGGCTTTAGTTTGTCTATTTGCTTACTAACATCGTTACTAGTCACTACTATCTCCACTTAATTTGTTTTCTTCACTATCTCTGAATAAGAGTCGGTGCCTCAGTATCATGTTTAAATTTTCGGTGGTGAAAACTGTTGAAAAATATTTATTCAAATTATTGCTCATTTCTCTATGCGTTATCAGTGTAGGCTCGCCGGTGTCTGACATTGGTCCAATCTTTTCTCGTGTTTTAGTTTGATACATTTGGTAGAATCCTTTGGGGTTTGTCTTCGCCTCCCTTGCTATCCTTACCTCATTATTCCTCTTTGCTTTCCTTATCTCGGTTTTAACCTACTCGCCAATACCTATAATAGTCCGAATTGAATTTCGCCACGATTTATCCTTCTACCTAGCTTCCTTCCTTTGGCCAATGATGTTCCTTAAATAGTTATTAATCCATTTAGGGTCATTGTTGTCTGATCTGAGTTTTTTGTATGGTATGTTCTGCCTTTGTGCATTAAGTAACTCACTATTTAAATTGTCGTGTAACTCGGCAATCTCAGATCTCGTTATCAGGTCTGTGTCATCTGACAGGTTCACGGCCAAGCGCGACACCCCCTCTCTCAGCTGCCTCTTTAAACTGTCAAAGTTCGCCCTTCTGAAATCTGGTACTTTAGTGGAATTTTCCTTACGTCTGCCCTGAAAGTCTAACTGGAATCTAATTTCTTTGTGATCGCTGTTTGCAAATTCGTTGTCGACAGGGAAATCATCATAGTCTCTTAAAAGGTCTTCCGATGGTTCATAACGTGATGTATGGGGTTTTTCTGCAATCACAGTGTTACTGTCATTAAGAGACTCACTTTCATCCTGTTGTGGCTCATTATCTATATCTGTTTCATCACTGTCGCATTGAGTTTGTATACGCGGATGTCTCACCAACCTATGTTTTTTAAAGGGGATGTATGAAGCAGCATGTGAGACACTTTCCTGTACGTACTCACGTTTAAGGACAGTACTGCTAGTACTGATATTTAAGGGAAAGAAAGAAGAGAAATTAATGAATAAACTAAAGAAGACAAAATCCCTAGGGCCGGATGAAATTTTTCCTCGAGTCTTGAAAGAGTGTAGGGAACAGATTAGCGGACCCCTCGTAAATATATTTACAAAATCATTAGACACGGGAGTTGTGCCAGACTTGTGGAAACGGCAAATGTAGTACCCATATTCAAAAAGGGAGACAGAGCATCAGCGTCTAATTACCGGCCGATCAGTTTGACGTCAGTAGTGGGGAAATTTCTTGAATCAGTTATAGCAGATAGCATCCGATCGCATTTAGAGAAAAGCAAATTAATCTACGACTCTCAACATGGGTTTACAAAGGGAAAATCTTGTCTAACAAATCTACTGACGTTTTTTAGGAAAGTCTTCGAGGTAGTAGATAATGACGAAAATTATGATGTTATTTACTTAGACTTTAGCAAAGCATTTGACAGAGTACCGCATCAGAGGCTTCTGAGAAAAATTAAGACTCATGGTATCGAGGGGAAGTTTTATATTGGATAAAATCATGGCTCACCGATGACGGGTCGCGTGAATGATCTAAAATCGATGGTAGGATTTAAAGAGACATTTCAGCCCGCTCGTTGCGTCTACCCCGATACTGGGATCAGAAGTGACATAAGCAAGTTTGCGGATGTCACCTTATTAGGGCGGCAGATTAATTCAGGGCAGGATGCAAATGCATTACAGGAGGATCTAAATAAACTGCAGGGGTGGTCTGAAAAATGGCAAATGAAATTCAACACCAGCAAGTGCAGCGTACTTAATATTGGAAGAACAAACACTGCCAATGTATACAGCCTTAACAACATCAACCTAGAGAAGTCGACTTGTGAAAGAGACCTAGGGGTACTTGTAAGCCCGGACCTACAGCTTAGAAAACAGTGCGTTAATGTTCGAAATAAGGCAAACAGAGGATTGGGTTTTATATCTAGATGTGTAAGTAATAAGAGTGCAGAGGTCTTATTGCAACTATATCTTGAGCGAATCGAGCCTGCACCTCGATTATGCGGTTCAGTTCTGGTGCCCCTATTATAGAATGGATATAAATTCACTAGAGTCGGTGCAGCGAAGAATGACAAAAATGATTCCGGGACTTAGAAACCTTCCATATCGGGATAGGTTAAAGAAACTTAACTTGCATTCCCTAGAAAGACGAAGAGTGCGAGGAGATATGATAGAAGTATTTAAGTGGGTGAAAGGAATCAATAAAGGGAATATAGATAAAGTTCTTATAATATCCGAGCAGGATAGGACTCGTAGCAACGGATTCAAGTTGGATAAGTTTAGGTTTAGGAGGGAGATAGGAAGAAACTGGTTCACAAACAGAGTGGTGGACGAGTGGAACAAGCTTAGCAACTGTGTAGTAAGTGCGGGAACGCTGGAAAGTTTTAAAAGGAGGCTAGATAGATTCATGGATGATAGAGAGTGGTAGTAACTCTCGACAGGAGCTGCCATGCACAGGCCAACCGGCCTATTGCAGACTCCTTATTTTCTTATGTTCTTATGTTATCTGCATTACGTGGTGCTCCACCACCACCACTACCACCAACACTAGGCTCCCCAACATCACCAAGTAGTTCATCACCAACATTCTCATGCACGTCACCTGCACCTGGATTTATGGATCATGTAACCAAATATTTTCAGTTCCTCAGCCGCCTTTTGGCCGTGTGAGTTTATGAGTATAATATCTGCGTCGACTTGGTTGTATTGGCTGGACATACTGAATTTATTAGTTCTCCAGTGGAGGACGTTATGTTGCATTATTTTCACTGCCTTACGAAGCGAGCCCATTGTATCTTGTATATGGTTTTGGGGGGATGCCACGGGTTCGTGGTTTGTTCACTGTGCGTCCATTCCTCATTTTTTTTATCACCCCATCGGATGTCTTGTGGATGCAGTCTGTTAAATCGACCCGTTTTTGTTTAATTGCTTCGTGGATGTACTCCTCGAAATTGGGGTG